AACATTATTATTATTATTATCGTTATTAATAACTGTTGTATTACCTTGAGAGATTAAATGAATGAAGCATTACAAAAATTTTAGTAAAAAGTCATAAATAACACATTAGAAACATTAGAAATTTTACCGGTAATGATATCAGGAGCATCACTAGGTTCTTCAGTAGAAACATTACCAGTAAGAATTCTACCAGGATGTGTATCGGCACCTTTATTATGACAGGTATCAGGGACACGACCAGTACTTGTAGCAGAGACACAACTAGGGCTTGTGATAGAAGCACAACCAGTACTTGTAGCAGAGGCACAACTAGGACTTGTAGCGGTGGCACGAGCAGGACTTGTAGCAGGGCACGAGCAGGACTTGTAGTGGAGGCACGAGCAGGACTTGTAGCGAGAGAACCACACAAACTTGCATTGGAGGACTAGCAGTGGTAGCACCATCAGCATCAGTAAAGCTACCGGGAGAACTACAAGACATGATGAGGGAGGTTGTACTAGAGATCGAAGGTGAAATACACCAACTAGGAGCTCTAGCCGGTGGTGTGAAATTATTTGCGACTTCATCGCTTTCCCACCAATTTCTTTTCAACTTATTTTAATTTTGTTCTATGGCAGTTTTTTCGCACAGCAACAAAATCTGTTCCAACTAAAAGTATATTAAAATATATTAGTACCGATATCTATATTTATATGATTATCTATTGTAATAATTATAGTTTCTGATCACCATTCTTTTTCACAACCTTTACAACGTGACTATGTCTTTCCGGTTCAATTTCAGAACGAATGTTTTGCTTTTCTTCTTCTTCAGCCAGTTCAGTATCTGTTTCAGATACCTCATCACTGTGGTATTCGCTTTTTCTCATTATTTTTTTTAAGTCATTTAAAGTCTGGTGCTCTGATACATCAAGAGGGAGAAGATTTGTGAGATGCACACTATTTGTTTTTTGTAAATGGGTGAACACCTTTTTTCGACGGTTAATTTTATAAGAAGCATAATTAAAATTTTACTGATAGTCATATAAGCAAATTGTTGATGCAAAAAAAAAAAAAATCTTACTGCAGTCATCCTTTGATTTTTTCAGTTTTTTGCAAGTGCTTGTATATTTCTATCAGGGTCTTGTTTTCTTAAGTGTATTTCACGTTGATGACGGTGGTGTTTCTTGATAATTTCGAGTATTTGGTAATCTTTCACCTTGTATCTTCTTACATCATGTTTCACTATTTTAAAGGAATTTTTGAGAAATTCCTGCTTGAATTCCGACCAAACTTGGGATGGGTCGGGTTTTCCAGATTCTTCTAATCTGGAAAATAAATCTTGAGGTCATTCTATTATAATAAATTTAAATTAATCAATAAATAAAAGCACCTGATATCTATACAGTTCACTTTAATAAATATTAAAGCAATATGAGAAAATATCTAAATACAAATAAAATATAGATAATTAATGTCATCATACCCTTAATGCTTTTTTTGTTTCAGGGGAAAGTGCTCAGGACCTTTTTTTAGAGGCTT